TCTTTAAAGGCTCCTTTCCTACAACATGTTAAGAGCTTTATAATTAGTGCATTTTATGTTACTGGTTGTGCAATATGACCTAAATCTGCTATGTCCTACTTCTGAACATCTGAGTTCCCAGATATAAGAGTTAAAATACCTCTAGGTAAGGAGAATATGAGTTTCTGCCACTAAGTAGGTAAGATACAGACACTTTACAGGTGTTTGTCTGATGTACACTGAAATATAATCATAAACATGGCAGTATACTTGAACAGTTATGTTAAAGAAGAAAGCACACGTCCTTTAAAAACTAGAATCTGGACAAGTTTTAAAACCTTAGCCACTTCTTTATCTGCTTCGATATCAGGGAACAACCTGGGACATAGGGGTGCAGCAAGTTGGACATTTATGATGTTCAGAAGCCATGCTGAACCTTGAAATAAAGGACGGCTAACACCAGAAGGATCTATTCCTGTTGCTTGGTAAATGTAAATAATTGTCCTGCTGCATTTAGTTTTAAATTAGGGTGTGACAGTGATCTGGTTAATTCCTGTTATGAGAGCTACAATAATTCAACCGGAAAGTTATAAAAGCATGGATTACTGAGTCCAAGTCACGCCATTTTCTTTTACTGAAAAAACACACCACTGAAACTGAAACCACTGAAAGTTGTACAGTTTTTAAATCAATCTGTTGGGACTTTTTATCACTGCGGGTGGTTGCAGTCAGTTACAGGGCCTCGCTGTGAGAAACCACAGTTGGCAAATACAAAATGAGCGCGTCCAACTGGTTGTGATTACATCACACAGGGTACCAGGAAGCTCCTGTTACAAATGAACTCTAACTGAGACCCTTACCTAATCGCTGATTAAAGTTTCAGCCGAGTTTTGAGGAAATTTTGTAGAAATGTTACCTAAATATGTGCAGTGTAGTTTATTTTATTTTTTATTTTTTTTAGGAAACAATCAAAGCCAAAACCACTCGAAAAGCAAAGTCAATCTTTGACCATCCCCCATAATCATGATAATAATATCACACCTGATAGTCTCGGTTTGATTGGGGACCAAAATTGCAACAGAGACCTTTTGAAAAACCGGCTCCCCCTCCTCACCTGTGGTGGCACAGCACTAAGAACCACTGAAGGAGACAATGAGTGCAATTTCTTTCTTCACAAAATGTAAATAAAAATGGAGTGGTGTGAGATTTTATAAGCTGTAAGATCCCTCTTTTCTCTTTGGTAAAAGACCACGAGCCATTTCTCCTGCTAACGCTTGTTTTGGTTGTATTTACCCAGAATCCACTGCGCTTTTGTGCGCTTACTTCTTTTGGAGCGGTCTCCGGTCCGTTATATCCACGCATGCATTTGAACAGCACCAGAGTTCACTTCAACCCAAGTTTGTAGGCAGACCAGAGTTCACTTTTTTGGTCCACATCAGAGTTCAATTACGCATTCACACCTTCCTGAACAAACCACACGTTGTAAGCAACAATGTGTGGTTGAAACTTTGTTAGAGTAGATCGCTAGTGGACCATTAGCAAACCATCCATCCATACACCATCTTTTGCGTGTCCTATAAGCAGTCTCAGGGAAACCCAGAAATCTATATCCTAGCATACATTGGGTCTGCTCCCAATGGGATGAACCCAGGCAACTTCCTAATTGAGGTACTCAAGAGGCATCTTGCTAAAACTCCCCTCAGTTGAGTCCTTCTGATGCTTAGAGCAGCGGCTCTGACCTCCCCATCAGCTGATGAAGCTCCTCTCCCCATCTCTATGGCTGAGAAGAAGCCACGGACTCAACTAGTAGTAAACTAAAAAATGCTTGTCTGCTGATTCTTCAGGGTTAAGACACCTGCCCTAATCAACACAATATGGGTCAACGAACACAAAACCGACCTTCTTCCATCAACATGTCAGTTATCAAACCTAATCTTTAAGGAGCATAAGTAGAGCCAAGAGGCTGGATGGCTGCAACCTTGAAAAGTGTTGAAGGATAACATGAAGGTAGATCCCATTAGCTGTTCAAAGTATTGACAGTAAGGATATCAAGTCTGGTTCCAATGGTGATTTTGAAATGTTATATATATTAATAAATATGTACAGTACCTATATATTTCTTGACAAGGGATTTATCTCATCTGGATAAATGTTCTCAAATTTCAAAAAGGCTCAAAGATCCATTTATAACCGTCATGTGTGAACATGTTTCATCACTTCTTCAAGTCTTTGGTTGTATAACCCTTATTATGTCCATTTACGTCCATGCGTACCCTGTTTCCGCACTATGAGGGAAAAAAAGGAGCAATTGGAGTAATGTGTAAGGCCAAAAGCTCTCCAGCTCCATTCTCCCTCCTCATTGGCTTCTCTTGTAGATAATAGTGGGCTGACTCAGCGGACTGCGAGTAATCACTAAGAGGTACATCAAATGACCATCGTCGAATGAATCGGCTGTTAAAGGGGGTGAAACTGGGTTCAAAAGAACTTGGCAAATTACTGTCATGTCAGCCAGCGACCCCCATAGAAAAGAAAATATCGGTTCAAGAGATCATTAAATAATTAGCTTGAAATAATGACTCAGTAAGAGGCAAGTTCTGAATCATATGAGAATAATTAAACCACAGCACACCTTCTTAACCTCACATTAGGCTTGATTTTTTTTAATCTTCTCCCCTCTCATCAGTGTTTAAGCTCATTATTTCTGCTCTCTTTCTCTTTTATTAATTAGCAATGGGAGTATGGTATACACTGCATGTGTGCTAAATTTAATGCCTTACACGTGGAGTGGTTTATTTTGTCTTCATGACAGTCTACGTTAGGAAGTTGTTAGCGATTTTGTGTGATTTGCTCACTAGCTGACTTGTACTGTACTTGAAAAGTAGCTACTGTTCAACAAAAGGCCTCAAATTGCAATTGACATCTTAATGTCTGTGAGCATTTAAACATCCGCAAAGGACTGCTCAGATACAATATTTGCTAAGAAAATCTAAAACTAATCTACGCAGGCAAATAGACTTGTAAAACTCCATTTCATGTTTGCAATACTTTTTGCAGCCCTTTGTTTTATGTATTGAAGATATTAGATGAAAAAACTATTAAAAAAAAGAGTTATTTAAACAGCACTCTAATCATATTATCCTGAACAGGAAGCTGTGAATCCAGAATCAGTCGAGGGATTTAAGAAAAGTTCAAATTCTTATAATATAGGCGAAAAGATTTTTGAAAAAAAAAAGAAAAAAGAGTCCTGTAAACATAGTTTAGCAACTCTGGACGATCATGAGGTCGGATTTATCAAATGTATTTTTCACAGAGTGCCTTGATTCAAAATACTGCCAAACCAGAAGTAAACCATGTTCATCTTTTTCCCCACTATAATGAACTTCTACAGCCCTATCACTATAACTTGCTATATTTAAAAACAAAAACAATGACTCGGTTGGTCATGTTTTGTCAAACCAAAGAAAGAAAGTCAAGAGTCTTATGACTGCTACCACCTGTAAAAAGTACTTTTACTTGGAGTAAAAATATTGCCCTTTGATTTTTGGTAGGAAAGGCCAGGGGATTTTAAAAGCTGAGTCGTTTATCACAGAGAGAGCCGAGCAATTTTCAGTCAGCAGGAATTCATTTCAAAAAGCTTTTTCATCTGGATTTGCCTAAGATATAACTGGCTCCTTTAAAATAAGGACAACACACAGAGGCATTCACATTCAAGCAGAATAGACAAAATCCTATATAATACTATCTTTACAGCATTTTCACTTTAATATATGCAGTTCCTACAGAAGTTTCCAGATTTTGCCTCTCCATAACCACAAATCTTAAAAACTTTCTGATAAATCGTGGTGGTTGTCCTGCTGGAAGGTGAAACTCCTAGCCGCAATGCTACTGGCTATCTCATTTTAAACGTTTCTGTATTTTTTTTAATGTGTTCTGTTTTACAAAGATAATTTAAGGTAAATTAAGTGGTTGAACTAACAAAATTGGAAGTTATAATTGTTTATTAAGGGGAATTGGAAGTATTCACTGATTTCAGCTATTATTCACTGCTGGGGGTTTCCATTACCTTTTTATATTCGTACACAGTTTACACTAATTTCATATTAGATTGAAAAAAAGATGTTGAAGTTTGTAACATGGCAAAATGTGGAGCGGTTGAAGTTTGTCAAAGGTTTTTCCAGAGGACATGTATTCATTTACTGGGGAGAAAGAGAAAACTCAACAACAACATGCTATGGTATTTAGATAACACTTGCTACTAGCTTGACTAAAGATTAGGGCGATGGTTAGGAGGCTTCCTCCTGTCAAATCATCATCTAATCCTAAACTAACAAGAGCAGACATACAAAAAGCTGGCCAGCCATTTTAAGAAGAGTTTGATACCAACTACGATTGTAACAAATGATTGTTGTGAAGGGTATAAATAGCTTTTGACATGAACTTTTCAAAAAAATCTAAATAAAAAAAAAATGTTATATTGTTACATATTTTATTTATTTTTTATTTTTTCTATAGGATTGTTTTTCATAAAAGTATGATTAACTGAAGAAGGATTGCATCTTTGCAATGTATTTTTTTATACTACTAGGGTGGAGGCTTTATTTAAACCCATTATTATTATTATTATAATTTCCTTAATATATGTATCTGCATTTTAATTGTGCAAAACAATATATAATGTTTAAAAATCACTCATATATTTAAACAGTTATTCCCTTAGGAGATGCCTTTAACTTTGATAAATGAAAGTGACATTTAATTCTGTTCAGTATAGTATGTACTTGTTAAATATAAGCTATGCTCATCACAAGTTGGTGAATTTGTGAAGACAGTAATGCTCTTCTGCCTCACCTGTTTTTTTCTACTAAACTATATTTATGTAGAGGAAATGTCATTTGCATGAGATTGGGATTTTACTGCAACACAGTTGTGATCTTTTTTTTTTTTTGTTGCTACTTTTTATAAATGGGTAAGTACTTTAGAACTTTCTCCTTAATGCTTCAACATCGACAACAAATTCTTACCACATTCCAGAAGAGAGGGTTGAATATGATGGCAATCACTGCGATGGAAAGGTTCGGGTCATGAAAGTTAATGTGTCTTATGAATTCTTCAATCGGCACCAAGTCCATCTGAAAAAACAAAGCACAAATAACGGAATCATAAAAAGTGCCAAACCTTTTTTTTTTTTTTTTTTTTACCATGGAACAAATGGTTAGATGTAGCTTAATGCCGTTACTAGAAACAGCATTAAGCAGCTGGGTTGCTAGCAGCACCCAGCTGCTAGAAACCCGGGTGGCCATTTACTTCAAGCCATGATTTTTCCCCATTGCACTTTATTAATTCAAGGCAACGTTTATTTGTGTAGCCCCATTTACACACAAGGCTATTCAATTTGCCTTGCAGAAAGGAAGAGGATCTGAAAGAGGACACATATTACAGTTTTGGGACAGTACAAGTACATTTTCTTCCATTACAAGAGTCTAATGATTAAGAGCGTTAACAGATGTACAAAGCCACAATTTAACTTAAAAAGACCAAATAAACCTGCAGATTTTTACCTGCTCACAGTTGCTTTCGCTTATTGAACATATTTTTCCCTAAAGCCCTGGATTCATTAGTTAGCTTCATTAAAGATGGATTTGTTTGCTACATGTTTTACAGAGAAAAATGAATGCTAACCCACTGAGTAATGTTAAGGCAACAGCCTTTCCACCTGTCTGATTTAGACTCTCCATCTGGTGCCTCATTTCCACTAAGCAGTATGGCACAGGTCAGTGACCTACATGGACCTACAACTGAAGGTCCATGCAGGACTATGGTACGGTATGTTTATTCATATTCTCAGTTAATACAATAAATGTTCAGTCAGGGTCAATACCTCAGTCTTGGCCATTAACTAGCAATCATGCCATGGCCCAGCAAGGATAGGCGGGTATGGACCGCTGGATGGAAGCTTGAAAGGCATAAATGCTCTGGATTTAAATTTGGATTTTCTAAATCAAACTCATTTGCAACATTTTGCTGCTATAGTTCAACAAGAAAAGAGGAAGAAATTAGATCTGTATCATTTAAAATGACCTACAATAATAGGGTGATCAAATTAGCTCCTCTAACTAATGAGATTCAGGGCTATATAAAAGATGACCTACTGCTGAGACAAAGTGAGAGCAAAAACATAAGTGCTTTAGGTTGAGTGTAGTCGCTTTGGCTCCAGGGTGAATCATGTTTTACTGCACAATGTCGGGGAAAGAAGAGCAGCGCTATCAAAGCTACTGCAAGCTCAACAAGGACTTGTAATTTCTCCCTGGCATGACTGGATACAAAAAAGGCATTGATGAATTCAGAGTCACCAGGATGTTTAATAAAAGGTGGAAAAAACTGAACTGATTGTGGTTTCTTCTTTGATTCTGAGTTTGTGGGGAATGCCACTGAAATTAGCGCTAAAGCCTAAACAATAAAAAGCTCTATAATGATATCATGTAAAATGTTGTCAATAGAGAGCACTAGAACTGCCAAAAATGTCAAATTTACAAGTGTATATTTTTGCATTAGTAGAAAAAAAATAAAAAAATCTGGTAAAGCTGGAGCTTTCTGTTAATAATTTCAATCATTTCAAACTCCTAATAAACCAAACCGACATTTTTAACTCTCAGCTCAAATTAGACAAAAACTAAAAAATGTACTTTTTAATGATTCATATTATTAACAATAGCAAAGGTAGAAGTAGCTACATTTGATAGTCTTATTTCCAATTTACTGGCCTTTTTAGACAAGAAGTCTTTTAATTTCTCTATTATGACCCAGGGTCACTGGATTAATAGTCGCTTTCAAGGTCTGAGATTCTTCAATGTTACTTCTTGGCCATTTTTGCATAAATCCTACAACACTGCCCTACTAACGCTTGTGCAGTGAACATTAAAAAGAGCAAAGCATATAAAACATACAAGCACCATGGAAGAATAGTAGAATATGATAACTGCATATATTACCCAGACAGAATATTGCACAAGGGTATTGCACATTTTCCCGAAGGGTGACACATGAACCTGCTTTCCGAATGGTGATATGCCACATAACATGTGAATTGAGGGAGTATCATTATTGCACATGTTCGAAATGTGTGTGAAAGCTGTCAAGCTTGTTTTCAGAATCATGCTTTTATTTTGGAGAGGGCCTCCCACCAGCTGTGTTCCGGTCAGACAGAAAACAAAACTGGAGGCAGTGCTGCGTCTCAGCCTGCCAGCCTGCCTAGCTTTACCTTGGAGTAGTCGACGTTGTTCAGACCTCCGCAGCAGTCAAGCGGGACCGGCTGGTTGTTCTGTTCGGCAGCAGGTCGGGTTTCCCGCTCAGCAGCAGCAGCAGCAGCACCGTCGCTGTCGCTCATTCACTCCCCCAGATACGTGGCAGAAAGCCGCGCTATCAGCCGTGTCAAAGAGATAACAAATGTTACTCAATAAATAGGGAAAGGGTCCAATTTAAACTCTAAGAAGAGGCTAGTGGCCTAGCTGTTGTGCTATTCATGTCTAAATAACGTCTACCCCGCTCGGTGCATTCTGGGTAATGTGGTTCAAATTTATTTTCGATTTTTTTTTTCCTTTTATTTCTTCCTGCGTTATATCCATGCATATGGCCCGATTAAAGCCTGTTTCTTTTTGTACATATTATTGATATTTATTGTAAATTTGAAGAAAACTGAGGAATTCAGGTTGTAGTAAGCAATGAAAAACATTAGAAAAATACTTAAAAAAAATATTTTGGAAAATGGAATAAATCTCATCTATTTGTGGTGAGGAATAAATTTTTACACTTTTAAATATTAAAAGTGTAAAACCACAGCGAGACTGAAAGAGTTATCTGAGGCTTTCAAAAATAAGATTGTTGCAGCAACAATGAAGCATAAAGTTGGACATTTGGTGATGCAAGACCATCTTCTGTGAATTCTACAGGGCATCCAGGGGTGGAAGTTAAACATTTTCTCCACCAGCCACAGGAAGTATACTTAAAAGTTATATAGTTAACCTTTGCTTTGGATTCAGCTGCATTGTACGAAGTAAATGTGCACCGAAGACGGAAAATGTTTTATAGTCTCAACCTTCCAGGTCCGTCTGTTTCTTTGTTGTTTTCATGACGATGATGATGTGGAGTCATATCCTACATTTACATTTTCTCCTCTCATTTCTTTCTTAGTCATCCTATTTTTTCTCATCCACTTTTAATGGTTTACCTTCCCATTTCCTTCGCCATAATATGTCTTTCTATCCGTTACCTCACTCCTTTTTCCATCTTTTATGGCATTATTTTTCCTCTCAATTTCTACTTGTTTTTCTTCTAGCGCTTCATTTCAGTTATTCCATTTTTTTTCCACCCAATAAAAATTTATTATTTGTCGCCTCTTTGTCTTCTCCTCGCTCATTATGTCTTGTCTGTCACATTAATTGCACACTTGTTGTCAGCTGTTATTTTGCTCCGACCTTCCTCCTCTGTTACCCCCTACCATTTGTTTGGAGCGAGTCGGATGAGTAGGAGACACCTCATGTGGAGGCAGGAACAGTGGCAGATTCTGAAACCCTGATCACTTTGTGACCCAGCATAATGTTTGTTCATCAGGGCATCTGATCTGTATAAAAAAAACAGCAAAAAAAAACAAGGATCACATGAAGATTATGAACGTATTTGGAGATTTGGTCTCCTTTCTTTCTTTGGTTCTTCTTTGGTTCAGCTTGGATGCAAACACATCAACAAGAACATAAAGAGACATTTTTACAGTCTTGTACCTGTACGATGATTCACTGAAAGCGGATTAGCTTTCGACTTCAAAGGACAAACATTAGTCATGGTGAGTACATAGTTAAATGCAAGGGGAAACTGTAGAATAAAGAAGAAAAATATGCCTACAATATCTCCTTCTTATAACATCTGAAGTGACATTACTTAGGCCGTGTTTATGCCACTTGATGCCATCAGTGGTGCCCAGAAGAAAAATTCAGAGCAAACCAGGAGCGGCCAAAACCTTTTTTGGGGCCCTACGCAGATTTTTAATTCAGGGCCCCCCTATACCAACATGTCATCGCCGGATATTTCATAATAATGGCTATTGATTTTAACCTCACAAGAGTGGCAAACTAAATATGCTCCAATTAATTTGCATGTTGAAAGGCAAGATTGATATTTAAGTGTGGGATATTCATTTCTTTGAAAGTAACATCTGCAGACAAACACTAAATTTACAGTTGGCAAATGTCATATCTTTTTTTAAATTTGGAAGAAATGTGTAAAATGTCCAATCTATGACCCTTTGCACATGATAGAGGAGTTCAAAACATAAAAAATACTGTGGAGAATTTATCCGTCCTCCATGCTAAGTTCTTGATGTATGAGGTTGAGGTCAGTGAGATGAATTTATGAATTCCATTTATTAATACCAACATACAGCTGGTCCATTCCTCATGCTACCTTTAAGAGCTAGCAGGACAAAATGGCACCCAAGAACAGTTTGTGATCCCCTTTGTTAGCCTTCATCTAAGCTACGCCCTAAAGAAACATTCCAGAAAGTAATTGAGATGAAAATAACTGGTTTCTACAGCAATGCACTGGTTTTCCTTTTTAAGCTGTTTATGTTTCTGCAAGAAGCCAAGAAAAAAAATTATAGCTGCCATCATTTTTTTCTTTACCATAGTGGTCTATATTCTCTACTAATGGTTTCATACAAGACACAGACATGTAGAGTACATCTTAGTGAGGTCATTCATCCATGCAGCCATATTTAGCTGCATAAATCTATTTTCTTCCTCCTTATCCAACCATCCACCCGGTTACAGAGCTACCAATGAGATATTCATGTGTTTCATAATTCACTCACACACCCACAGTTATAAATCATGACTAGTGTTTTTTTCTCTCCCTACTGATCGGTCTGCTGAGCGACGTCCTGCCCGATCGCCCGGCGCAGGCGATCAGATAACGTGGGACAGGAAATTGGTCAGTGCTGTAAATCTGAAGCAAACAAAACCAATTATCATCCAACTCTGCGTCCCGGTCATTCCCACCACTGCTGTCGTCAGCGCCAGCGGTTCAGTACTGTACACCTCGTCCATTAATTTGTTGCAATCATGTGCCAAACTAACTGTAATCGACGCATCAGCCTTCCCCGTCTTCCCCCTCTTGACTTGCAGACGCAGACTTACAGTTACATCAGGCAACAAGATGTCCTGATGCAGCTGGAGTGTTCTGCTGCTCACGGGCATCAGCGGAGTCCTGGCGTTGTTGTGCCGGTACATGTGCACGCCCTCGTACCCTGCAGGTAACCAAACAGACGGAGCAGGATCAGGTTTGAGCTGGTATGGCGCAGTCGTACTATGATAAAATATATTAAAAGTGCTTAATTAGATTTGCGATAAGGCCCGGGACTGGGACAGGACAGCAACAGTGACGAGATTCTCATAAACGAGGATGCTAACAATTCCAAGAATGATGCAGGATTGGAGCTCCAGTTTATTTGTTTGTTTTTTTTTATAGCAAAATATAGTTGCAAAGCAACAAATCCAGTCAATAAATAACTACTTATGCACACAGGTGAACTGTGCTAGAGAAAGAACTCGAATTGCAAAAACGGTTTGAGTACAATTGAATTAATAAGGACAGTCAAAGACAAGCAGGTAAACGTCCCTTCATTTTCAGTCCTGTTTACTCTGATACCCCGTAATAAAATTCAAACGACTGTCTTCAGAACTCAATGACTGAACAATATACCTGTATGTAATTAAGGGTGCATTACTGCTGCTGGTTCTATGAATATTGTACAGAACTTTGGTGCAATTAATAGGTGTTTCTAAAGTGCTTTATGAATTGATATTGACCAGCCCTGTTTAGTTCACATTAATCAAAGCATTTGTTTATCTAAAGTCCATGTTTGTTTGGAAAGGTCCGAATGTGTAGTCCAATTCTGATGCAGACTAAAAAAAAAAAAAAAAAACTCTAGTCCACCAAAAAAATACTTGGGCCTTGGTTCGGCTGAAGTGAATTTTGGCATGGTTTGAATATATGTCAAACAGGAAGCGGACTATAGTGCAGGGCATTGTGGGTAAATACAGCTAAAACTCTAGAGCAGTGGTTCTTAACCTGGGTTCGATCGAACCCCAGGGGTTCGATCGAACCCA